GATTGGTGGAAATTAAGACGAGGGAAATACTCGTTTATAATAGTATAGTATTTTGTATCATCTCTATAAAGCCACAATCCACACAACAAGGTCTGATCTTTAGCTTAAAAATTTAAACCAAAATCGGTGCAGTTGTACGCACCTACGTCATCAAACACTTGCCGCCATCTTGTCGCGGGTATTTTAAAATCCCCGAAATAGAAGTTTGATTCCGGCCGTTATCGTAGTTTAAATTCCCCGAAATTATAGTTATTATATTATTATTATTATTATATTATAGTTTGTTTGTTCATAGGTTCTATGGTTTATTAGAGAAACAAATTATGGAACAAATTATAACCTCTAATCTGTCAAAATTAAAAATATATATTTATGTATTTTACCAGTTAATTTAAACTTTTTTAAGGTTTTTACTTGCCCTTTTTTACTTTTTATACCAAGAGTTATAAAAAACGTCCTAATATTTTAGAATTAGAATTTATAAATTATTATAAAGTATACTTACTGGTTAAACACAAGATTTGCACAATTGAGGTTTAAAAAGGTACACTAGTACAGTCAAAACACAAATAAACAACTAAATAACTGGTTCAAACACCTAACAACGTTTATAAGTCTGTATTAAGGCAAATAAGGCACAAAATTAAACCAAATCAAAATCTACCCGCTTAAAACGTAAACAAACAATATGGCGGCAAGTACCTATTTTGTGATTTTCAGTCTGCGGGAACTGCTAAAGAACAGACCTTGTTGTGTGGATTGTGTATAAAGCCTCATTCAGAACCTCGTAATTAGTGGAATAAATTAGTGGTTTCAATTAACGTAAAAGTTTGTCTTATATAGGTACACACTGTGTATTACACAGTGCTGTTCACAACCAAAAAATTAGTGGTACCTAGTACTTTTCAATTAGGGGAAAAAGTTTGCAAACTTTTAACTTTTACCACTAATTATCAGGGACCCGGACCCAAATGAAATAACGGTTCCGGTCCGGTTCCGGTCCGGTTCCGAGAGAAACGACAAATTTCGGTTCAGGTTCAGTTACGGTTCCAAAAAAAATATTTCTGTCCGGTCCGGACCAATCTTTTCGGTCCATACGGTTTTTTTCGGTTCCAATTTTTTTACAAGGTGTAAATATTATTTACTAAATAAGTAGGTACTTAAATTATAAAATGAAAAGTTTATTAATTTTTTTTATTTTTTTTTGGCAAGTACCTAATTAAATAAAGTATTACTTTGTCTCTTCTTATTTTTTAAATGAGGTTGGCTTTCTTTATTTTTTTCTTCTGATCTTGTGATTAATTAATTCTTAAGAAACTAAAAAATTTATAATTAAAATAAGTTATATAAAAATAAATTCTGATCTTGTGATTAATTAATTCTTAAGAAACTAGAAAATTTATAATTAAAATAAGTTATATAAAAATAAAAAAAACTAAACTTACAGCTTTTGTTCTTCTTTTTGCTGGGCTGGGTTAGTTGTTTTTCGTCCCATTTTAACCAAGTTTGAACATAGAGAATGGCTTAGAAAGCCCCAAAGAAGCACATATAAAAGATGGTCGCACAATCCATTGTGGATCAGAGATAAAGAAGGTTGTGGATTGTGGATGGTCGTTCATTTCTTACAAAATGGCGCGTCTTTCAATTACTTTTATGGACATTTTTCACATACTTCGATGCTGCCATCTGTAGGCAATTTTACTAACATGTCATTGACATGATGTTAGTCATAGTTGTTTTGCATTGTTGCCAAAATAATCAAAAATTATTTGGTTTAAAAAAAAATTTTTTTTTTTAATTTATTTCAAAAAGAATTTAAGAAAAAACCGAAAATAACCTAAAAACCGTTTTAAATTTAAAGGGTTCCGGTTCGGTCTCTAGACTTGCATTTAAAAATAATATGGGTTCGGTTACAGTTCCGGTCCACAAATATATACCGGTTTCGGTCCGGTTTTCTGTCCAAAAACGGTCCGGTCCGGGTCCCTGCTAATTATAATTGGAAAGCGGCTTTACGCTTGTGCGCGGATATTTTATGTCAAAAGCAAAAAGTTTGAAGATTTGCCAGTGAAGGTAAGGTTATATAAATATTATTGTAATGGTTGTACAAAATAATAATAATAATAAAAATTATTTTAATATAATTAATATTGTTTATGCACGATGACATTATAATATGACAATTATAACAAAAATTCTTTGACGTAAACGTCTCTTTATAGCCCGCGGGCGTTATTATGGCCCAGCGGGCTATAATGAAACGTCAAAAATTAAAAACAACAATGTTACACCATTTGATATATTCGAAGTAAGTTTTTTCGTATAAAAAATTTTGATTTTTCCGGCAGCAGGCCGCAATTTTTCGCCTTTTCAGCTGCTTCCTCAATTTCATTCATCTTTAAACTTTAAAACTGACTGATGTCAGTTGACATTATAATATGACAATTATAACAAAAATTCTTTGACGTAAACGTCTTTAAAAACAATAATACCTATATTAAAAATAATAATATATTAATCGTGCATAAAGTTTTGTATGTATTGCTGGCATAATTGGTTTTTATGGTCCTACGACGCTTTTATAGCCCTCGCGCTAACGCGCTCGGGCTCCAAATAGCGCCTCTGACCATACAAACCTTATTATGCCCTTAATACATAATAGTTATTTATGTATTAAGGGCATAATAAGGTTTTTATGGTCCGAGGCGCTATTTCGAGCCCGAGCGCGTTAGCGCGAGGGCTAGAAAAGCGTCGTAGGACCATAAAAACCAGTTATGCCAGCAATGCATACAAAACTTTATGCACGATTAATATATTATTATTTTTAATATATTATTGTTTTTAAAGACGTTTACGTCAAAGAATTTTTGTTATATTATAATGTCAACTGACATCAGTCAGTTTTAAAGTTTAAAGATAAATGAAATTGAGGAAGCAGCTGAAAAGGCGAAAAATTGCGGCCTGCTGCCGGTAAAATCAAAATCTTTATACGAAAAAACTTACTTCGAATATATCAAATGGTGTAACATAATGTTACTAACATTGTTGTTTTTAATTTTTGACGTTTCATTATAGCCCGCTGGGCCATAATAAAGCCCGCGGGCTATAAAAAGACGTTTACGTCAAAGAATTTTTGTTATAATTGTCATATTATAATGTCATCGTGCATAAATAACTATTATGAGGCCTATTCCCTTTCGCTAAACATGCATGTTCATGAACTACATATGTTTCGTAACATATGAGCCTATTCCCTTTCAATTATTTCGTCTATAGACGCATGCGCTCGAAGAATTTCTTAAACATCCATGTTTATAAACATCATCGGTGTTAAAATGGCTATTCCGTTTCCAAAATTCGATGTTTGGTGAACATACATAAAGTTTGAAAACGTATGTTTACGAACGCTTGCCTAAGAGGTGCTGTTATAGACAATATTTAAGGTTTTTTATCTTGCATTAATCATAAATTGCGGCGATGTTTGGTACAGTATACAGTACAGTATCATTATCAAGCATAGTAATTATAAATTAATTACTTTTTCATAATTAATAGGTCCCTAATTAATTATAATTATAAATGATAAATATTTAAATAATCATATAAGGTTTTACACCAAACAAATAATAATATATTTTTTGGTAATTTTAAAAATATGTTTGATTTGTTTTTTAATTATTAAAATGTATTTCCTAATTATAATACCAGAATACAAATTTTGCTTTACTAATTTTTTTTATATAATTTTATTATAATAATAAATATTTATTTAGAGAAAAACAGAAAATTAAAAAAATCCGAGTGTAAAGAGAGAATTTGGGGGGAAGAATAAAAAATAACTTGGAAAAATATATTTTATTAAAAAAATACAACAAATATAAAATATCAAATACCTATGTAATATTATTACTCAAAAATATAGACAAAATATTAGTCAAAGAAAAGTATAACTAATAAAATACAAAAAAATATGCATCTAAAAACTATTTTTCTTCACATGGGAGCTAAAACTTTTTGGTTTAATTTTAAAATCTTTTAGGTTTTATCAATACCTTGTAAAACCTCTACACCTTCACTACTCGTCAGAGTTTGAGTTGGACTTTCTCTTTATGCGTCCCTGTTGTAGAAGGCACCCTTCCACTCGAACTTAAAGGATGGTCAATGAAGAGTTCCAACGATGGTATTACCTCCACCTTACCCTCCACCACTAACTTTCACAGCGCTTCCTCTATTAGGGCTAGTAATTTATCCTTAAAGTACTTAAGTTGTTTTACTGGCTCCCCGACATTGCCAGTCTCCATGTGAGAAATGCGTAGTTTTCTTGCCATTTTCAATACACTAAAAGTGTGTAAAAATAAGTAACAAATAATTATTTTAAGATATTTTATGATTACCTTTTTCCATATAAGGATGGACTTAATGGCCCCGCCAGAAGATCTGTGCTTTGGCTAGTTCAGCATAAAACGTTTTTCCCAAGTAGGTATTTTTAGAATTTGTGGATTTTCCCAAATTGTTTTTAAGTTTATTTAATATATTAAATATCACCAATGATGTTTAAAACAATTATCTAACACAATTTTAGTTTAGTCTGCGACTTTTAGGTTATAAAACTAAGAAACTCCCTGTCCTAAAAACATTTATCGCTGTTCAGAAAGATTCAAGGTCAAGACTCTCAACATATGAGAAACGGAATACCCCTAAACATAGGTAATGTTTGGCTTGTCGTTGGGTGAACATACATGTTAAGAAATCGATGTTTACGAACAGCAAGAAAGGGAATAGGCCTCTATGTCAGGTTAAGAAAAATGGACAATCTTTTAGCAAACTCCCTTAATTTTAGATGTTAATTTTGCGCATTGTGAATAATCGTTTTATGTTAATTATAAGTATAATTGAAACCACTAATTTTTTCCACTAATTACGAGGTTCTTAATGAGGCTAATATCACACTGTGAAATGGGTGAAGCGCTCCACAGGACACACGACAATCTGGCAACACTGTGAGCAACTCCTGTCAAACTAAAACATAACCTGCGGTCATTGTTTTGTAGATGTATCCGTAATATGATTCGTATTGAAAAGTAGGTGCTCAAAAATATCAGTGCATAAAAAAATATGAACAGATCACAGCAAAATTATGGTTCAATATCAGGGCCCTCCGTGGGTTTTGCTGGAACAAATTCACAGGAATTGAACAGTTTATGTGACTCAGTGGTTACAAATTTATATACAATAAACGGAAGCATAAAAACATTAGACAATGCATTAAAAACAATAGGAACAAAAAGAGATAACCAAGGTTTAAGAAACAATGTGTAAGTTAAAAGCGTATCACCTATTAATTACATATTATTAATTATATGTTATAGGCATGTTACACAACTAAGCACTAATCAAATAGCCTCAACTACAACAAAAAACATTGCTAAACTTAAAAGTCTTGTTGTCAAAGCTGGAAAACAGGAACAACTACAAGTAGAAAAACTAGAGGAAAACTTTAAAGAAACGATAAATCGATATTATTCCCTACAAAAAGTAAAAATCATTTATTTACTTGGATTAGGAGCCGATAACACTAACAAATACTTTGTTTAAGTATCTTATACACTGAACAATTTTAACTTAAAGTGCCCAATAACTTATTGCATGCTTAAATGTTTACACTACCAAGTGAGATTTGATACTTGACATTAAGTATTGGTTGGTGAAAACGACCCTTACTATTTAATACATATTTTATTAGGAAGTTGCCAACAAACAAAAAGCTCACCTTTTAGTATCTGTAAGTATAGAAAATGAACCAACAACTCCAGATGATGAAGAAAATAGACAAAAACATGCTCAAATGGCAGGAGAATTTGAGTTTGAGCAAGGTATGCTATTGGAAAGAGAATCAAGGATAAAACAGATAGAATCTGATGTTTTGGATGTGAATGAAATTATGAGAGAATTGGGTTCTATAGTAAGCCAACAAGGAGAAACAATTGGTAAAGTTTGTATGTGGTAAAATTATAAAATTATTAACTTGTTTATTTTAGATACAATTGAAAATAGTATTGATCATGCCACAGGTAATGTTGAATTAGGTACTGAACAACTGTTACAAGCATCAAGATATTCAAATAGGAGTAGAAAAAAATTATTAATCTTGGCTGTGATTGGGCTCATTATTGTAATAATTATTATATTAATTGTTTTTATAAAAAAATAGTTATGCTTTTGTCAAATTCATTACAAATGTGGTACCCATTTTGTTTTCAATATATATATATAATTAAGATATTTTTGTTAAACAACTTACTAGATATTGGATTTATTTTGTTAGTTATCTCATTATTGCTTAACCAAGTATTTTTACCCTTTATGAAATATTTTTTATTGACCTAGTGTGTTTTGTTAAATGTATTAATAATTATTGTACTGGAAACTTAATTAAATTACTCCAAATTATTTTGTTGAACTAGCTATATGGGAGCCCCAGCGACACTTTGAAGTCCTGTGATTTCTTGACTGATTTTTCTTCAATTCTGCCCTTGAATTATTTTTTAAATAAGGTTCTAAAAGCTTCATCTGTTGAACTAACGAGATCTGTTTCTAAATATGAAATTATGTTGAAATAATGCTAATTTTTCAGAAAAAATAACCTTTTAAGGTTAAATATATTTAAACCTGGGTATACAAACAAATTTGATAAAACATAAAAATGTTATGTATATAAACTAATCGAATAAAATTAAGCATATTAAGATATTTTGACCAAAACATAAATTTAACGATACAATTTTATACGCCCTGTATACTTTATTTTATTATTTGGTAATAAAAACGTAAAAATGAAAGAATCTTAGACAAAAAAGAACAAAGTCGAAAAAACGCAATAAAGGTATCAGTCGGTATTCAGTTTGATTTCAACTTTATTAAAAAATATGCTTAACTTTTTTCGATCAGTTTATATGAGACAAGCATTATATTATACAGTCTGTATAAAGCACTAATCATTTTGAGACAACATAGATAAAAGACTGTAGCACACTGATGTCTGTTGATGTTTAAATGACGTTAGCAAAGTCATTTAAACACCTGGGGTGTTCTTTAGGTTAAAACCTCTACATATTAACTTAAAACCTTATGTGTAGTGTACTACAAATATCGTTATTTATAATATAAAAATAAAATATATAAATTTTATCTTTTCTTTAATAATTTTGTTGCCTATTGGTATTACCCTATACAAGGGTCTAGGGTAAAGTGACCAGATTCTGTCAAAAAATAGGAGGGCATTTTTTATAAATTTACCTTAATTACAAAATTGACATTTAGATTTTAAGTTAAAAATTGGGACATTGCGGAAGTACTCGGGAGTCCCGCAATTTCCGCTTGACGACCCTAGGAAGTCTACAGACGGCCAAATGATACACTTTCAGATGTCCGTAAGACGTTCTGATTAGGACTATATCGCGATATACGCAGACCAGCTTATTAAGGTACTGTGAGGGCTTTTTGAGACTTCTTTGAAAATCCACATGTCATGATAACTATACAGTCAACTTTTAAGGGGTGGCAGCCATGGACAAACATTTTGATATAAGGAACATGTGTCCGGGAACGCCCCTTTTCGAACTACAGACTAAGCACACTTTGTAACAAAGCCTTTGTTTTAATATATACATATATACGGATGAAAGCAGATGTTCACGGATGATTGCACATGTTCGCGGATAAAATGAAATGTTGGCGGATAAAAGCAGATGTTTGCGGATAAAAGCAGATTTTTGCGGATAAAAGCATATGTTTGCGGATAAAAGCAGATGTTTGCGTATAAAAGCAGATGTTCGCGGATAAAATGAGATGTTAGAGGATAAAAGCAGATGTTTGCGGATGAAAGCAGATGTTCACGGACGATTGCAGATGTTCGCGGATAAAATGAAATGTTGGCGGATAAAAGCAGATGTTTGCGGATAAAAGCAGATTTTTGCGGATAAAAGCATATGTTTGCAGATGAAAACAGATGTGTTGGATAAAAGCAGATGTTTATGGATAAATGCAGATGTTTGCGGATAACATCAGATGTTTGCGGATAAAATCAGATGTTTGCGGATAAAAGCAGATGTTTGCAGATTAAAATAGATGTTTGCGGATAAAAGCAGATGTTTGGAGATTAAAACAGATGTTTGCGGATAAAAGCCGATGTTTGCGGATAAAATCAGATAAAACCGGGTGAATGCAAATATAAACCCAAATACAGGCATTTGCGGATGAAAGCAGACATAGAACTAAATAGATAAAACCCGTCGTTCGCGGATAATATTTTTAACCCGCAATTGCATATAAAAACCGACATGCCGGGTAAAATCTAATATGTCGGATGAAAACAGTTAAAAATGGAAATAAAACGGTTTTTTATCCGCAATCATCCGATATTACCCGTCTTTTTCAGCAGGGTTGTCACACTCAAAGTTTTGGCGCGCGAAGACGTTTTTATATAGTCTATAGTCATACGTACGTTATGACTCATAACAATTTTAAGCAGTTGCTCCCTTAGTGCTTGTCGTAACGTTTTTGTAAATACAGGCAAACAGTCAATTACTTATAATCTAAGATTAAAGTTAGTTTTTGTCCCAGATTTTTATTGGTAGGTACATTGGAGTGTTGTGGAATATTTTCCGGTGATTCCGAAATACTGTTTCGTGCTTTTCTTTGGACAAATAATACAACTTTTTATGCACTTTTTTCAGTTTGCGGTATTAAAAATACAAACAAAACATAGGTACCTAGATCAATTTATATTTTACTTGAGTAAAATGTATATAAGGTTATGTTCATATTATTATATAAAATATAAAGTATATAAAAACACTTTCATTCACAATTCTATTCTACACTCAGGGAAATGGATAATAAAAGAAGTTTAATAAAAATTTATTCATTGTAATGAGACAAATACTAGGTATTTGTCAAATAGTAAATGTTAAAATTTGTATCGTTCGAATGACTATAGTATACCTGTCAATAAGTTATTGACAATAACTGAAACTATGAATGTATTATAAAAGTTGTTTAGTACTGTGTACCAACCTTATTTTGGGTTTTTCAAAATTTAAAAAATAGCAATTTCTACTATACCTATAGTAAGAAAGGGCGTCTCATTGTCGTAACTACACATGGAAATAAACCTCACAATGCAGATTGTAACAAATACAAATCAGTTTTATAATAAAATAATACAGTTACCCTACAAATTGTAAGCACTACTATGTATTTAGTACTTTATGGAGGTATAGTACTGATTATATTCTAAATAGTATTCTTTACTATACTTGTTGTAACATATATGATCCCTGCTGAAAAAGACGGGTAATATCTGATGATTGCGGATAAAAAACCAAGCTAGTTTTATGTCCATTTATATCTGTTTTCATCCGACATATCTGATTTTACCCGGCATGTCGGTTTTTATCTGCAATTGAGGGTATAAATATTATCCGCAAACGTCGGGTTTTATCTATTTAGTTCTATGTCTGCTTTCATCTAGTTTCATCCGCAAATACCTGTATTTGGGTTTATATCTGCATTCACCCGGTTTTATCTGATTTTATCCGCAAACATCTACTTTAATCCGCAAATGTCTGCTTTTATACGTGAAGATCTACTTTCATCCGCGAACATCTATTTTAATCCACAAACATCTGATGTCATCCGCAAACATCTACTTTAGTCCGCAAAAGTCTGCTTCATCCGATTTCACCTACAAACATCTGCTTATATCCGCAAAGATCTGCTTTTATCTTTTAACATCTGCTTTAATCCACAAACATCTGTTTTAATCCGCAAACATATAATTTAGTCCGCAAAAGTCTGATTCATACGATTTCACCTGCAAACATCTGCTTTTATCCGCGAAGATCTGCTTTTATCTGTGAACGTCTGCTTTAATCCGCAAACTTCTGCTTTTATCCGCAAACATCTGCATTTATCCGCGAACGCCTCCTTTAATCCGAAAACATCTGTTTTAATCCGCAAACATCTGATTCTATCCTCAAACATCTGCTTTTATCCGCAAACATCTGTTTTAATCTCCAAAAATCTGCTTTTATCCGCAAACATCTGTTTTAATCTCCAAACATCTGCTTTTATCCGCAAACATCTGATGTTATCCGCAAACATATTCTTTTATCCGCAAACATATGCTTTTCTCCGCAAACATCTGATTTTATCCGCAAACATCTGCTTTTATCGGCAAACATCTGCTTTTATACGCAAACATCTGCTTTTATCCGCAAACATCTGATTTTATCCGCAAACATCTGATTTTAATCGCAAACATCTGATTTTATCCGCAAACATCTGCATTTATCCGCAAATATCTGCTTTTATCCGCGAACATCTGCAAACATCTTCTTTTAATTGCAAACCTCTGCTTTCATCCGCGTTTCATTTCCTTTGTCCATTTCGGTCCTGTTTCGTACGCAAACGTCTAGACCAGATCTGGTTCCATTCGCGCTTTTTGTTTTTCTTTTTCTCGTGTATACTTTAGTTTAGTTTACCTGCTTTGTCAAATTTTACTGAGCTTTAAGTAACTGGTTGTTAGCCGTTCACGGCACACAACTTTATAACTCTAAAAGGAATTATTTGAATAAAAACAACCTGTAAAGGAAATAAGTTTATTCAACACGACATTTTCCCAATGGGAAAATAATTTAATTATATTCACCAGATTTAAATTTAAAAATCAGGTATATTATAGTGAAATAATAAGTCTATTAATTCTTACATATGGGTCAGTCCATGTCAACTCAACACACCCATTTTACCACACCACCTCAGATTTTCTTAAAATTTGGTATACTTATACTATGTACTAAGACTAAGAAAAATACCAATTTTTAAATTTTTATCTCACACCGTTTCCGATATATGGCTATGTAAAGTTTTTAAAAACTCGCGAAAAAAGTGTGAACGTGTATTTTTTAAATTGCTCTGGAAGCTGTCCTAATTCAGCTAGAAAGCTGGGAGAGGTGTCATTTTGCAGCATTTTAAATGCTCTTTCAAATGACATACGAACGCCAAGGGTATAAATGAAAAGATTTTGTTCAAAATCCATATATATATTTTGATTCAATTTTTTTTCAAAGTACAAAATTTAAAATTCTCAAAATATTTGTATAAATACTTTACTGTTTTAAACCATATAGTAAAATATAAATGTGGGGTCTTAATGGGTTCATGTTAAAAAAAAATATTTGTGATG